TCAGAACTGAAAAGTTTACCGAAGGGGGGGGGGGGGGGGGGGTTGAATTTTAATACTACTTGAGAATGTCTTCATATTAATACAGCATATGACTTTGCTGTTCTTGATAAAAAGCTTTTTTAAAAACATTTTCTTCCTATACATAACTTCATAAAAATTTGAATTTGATTCCCCATTGTTTCCCTCCCTACCCCAAAGGACCAGGATTTGAATAAATTTAAATCTTCAATACATGAGGATGCTTACATGTCAATATGACTAAACATTTTTTTGTTCTTGGGATTTTTCCTTTTTTTTCTATGTAAAACTTTGATCCACCATTGTGGCCCCACTAGTGTTTCAGAATCGGAGAAAAAACACTATTCGATTATCGAATCGAATTTGAAACACCATTTTGATTCATAATCGAAAATAATCGGACATTTTGTTAGATAATGAAAGGCCCAGTATTATGTAATTGATAAAAATAAGAGAACACGTTGGCCAATATTTAAGTTTGAATTAATTTGCTTATTTTCTATTATTATTAAAGGAAAGGATTACACTTGTTTTAATATCAAAGAAAAAAATATTAATAATATTTTATTATTAAACTGATATAAACTTAAAAGACAATTGTGTTTCATTTTTTTGATAACATCTATCATGTTTATAATTAAACTATTGAACAGTATAAAATATTGATTAAAGTTTTTTTTATTTTTAAAAGATCATAATTTTCATTAAAATTTTATTCCTATATAAAAAGAAAAAAAGTAAAAGTTCAACAAGTTGTCTACCTTCATTATCATAAATGTTCACATGTGAATGGGTATGCACAATAAAAATAACACTAATTCTTTTGAATTCGTTATATGTATAAAAAAAAACAAAAAAACGGTAGCTTTGTTTTTAACTTTTCACTAACCTCTTAATATTGAAACTCTTAAAAAAAAATTATACACAAAATGCCAGTAGAAAGTAGAAAATATCGTTTCATGTGAGAGCAGAGGAAATTCAGGTTAAAAGACGATTTTTGTGCCCTTATGGCTTAATTTCGTCCTCAATTCTTTTGCTGCCTGTATGAATGATGTCTTACATTAATTGAAGATAATTTTATTTAGATTTAGCAATAATTAAGACTTTCAAAGCATGTTAATGAATTATTGAGTGACTCAGTTAAATGCACTGTTTAGTACAGGCAACGATCAGAAAGTTGTGCATGTGCACAAACTGCACATGCATGGAAGATGCATTAAAATAATCAAAGTATCATCTTTGTACAGACGAAAAAAAGGTAAACTATATGAATAAAGATAGGCCTAATATATATTAAGATTAAGCACTATGTTTAAAGTAACTATACATATAGCGACAATCGATTTTGCTGTTAAGCTATCGATTGTCGGCATCGCCAAGCTTCCAATGACAATTTTTCGTTCGTCGGCGACTATCGCTGAATCACTAGGCCCCTCCCTATCCTTGGGGGTTATGATTTAAACAAATTTAAGTCTACACTACCCAGAAATGCTTCCATATAAATACTAGTATCACTAATCATGGATTTGCTATTCTTCAGAAGAAGATTTTTTAAAATATATTAAAATATATATATATCATGATTTGAACAAATTTGAATCTACACTACCTGAGGATGCTTCCACATGAGTTTCATCTTTCTTGGCCCAGAGGTTCTTGAGAAGAAGATTTTTAAAGATTTTCCCTATATACACCTATGTAAAACTTTGAATCTACACTACCTGAGGATGATTTCACATGAGTTTCATCTTTCCAGGCCCAGTGGTTCTTGAGAAGAAGATTTTTAAAGATTTTCCCTATATACCCCTATGTAAATCTTTGATCGGCCATTGTGGCCCCACCCTACCCCTGGGGGTCATGATTTGACCAAATCTGAATCTACACTACCTGAGAATGCTTCCACATGAGTTTCAGGGGTCATGATTTGAACAAACTTGAATCTACACTACCAGAGGATGATTTCATATGAGTTTCATCTTTCTTGGCCCTGTGGTTCTTGAGAAGAAGATTTTTAAAGATTTTCCCTATATACTCCTATGTAAAACTTTTATCGGCCATTGCAGCCCCACCCTCACCCTCGGGGGGTCATGATTTCAACAAATTTGAATCTACACTACCTGAGGATAATTCCACACGAGTTTCATCTTTCTTGGCCCAGTGGTTCTTAAGAAGTTTTTTTTAGAAATGCCATTAATTTATCACTAATTCATAATTATCTCCCCTTGGAAGAGGGCTTGGCCCTTCATTTGAACAAATTTAAATTCCCTTCACCTAAGTATACTTTGTGGCAAGTTTGGTTGAAATTGGCCCAGTGGTTCTTGAGAAGAAGATGAAAATATGAAAATTTTACGACGACAACAACAACAACAACAACTACGACGACAGACAACGGACAAATTTTGATCAGAAAAGCTCACTTGAGCCTATGGCTCTGGTGAGCTAAAAATCAGAACAAAAGAAATTTAAAATCGTTACAAAAGAAATATCTGTAGATAAAAATTTATTGATTGAGGGAAGAGATATGGGTCTCTGATAAATACATGCACATACATCTGACCATTGTAGAGATATGGGTCTCTGATAAATACACATACATCTGACCATTGTACAGCGGCATTCTGAATGAGGCCTAGAAAAAAAAAATGTTTGTTTCCGCTTTCGGGCTGAAAAAATATAGGGTAGGTAGGTAGGCAATTTTTTTTTTTTTTAAATTTTTTTTTTTTTTTGCTTCTTTAATCAAAACATGTATAGTAGTAACATTAATGACTAGTGATGGGGAATCGGAAAAAAAAATCAGAATCAATTATCTTTATCGGTAATAATCAGCTGGGCATAATCGATTAATAATCGATTATAATCGAAATTTTGAACTTTAATAAAATTAATATAGAAAAGTTGAAACTTATTCAGATTTCTGTCAGACTTTTACAACAAGAGGCCCAGGGGCCACATCGCTCACCTGAGCAATTGGCTAGGAAAAAGCACACATCAGATCAGAACTGAGAGTTTACCAAGGGGGGGAGGCTGAGGGGGCTTGAATTTTAACCCCTCGGGGGTCATAATTTGAACAAACTTCAATATACACTACCTGAGGATGTTTCCTATAAATACTACTAAGCATGGCTTTAAAGTACTTGTAAAGAAATTTAAAAGGTTTCCCTAGATATTCCTATGTAAAACTTTTATCCGCCATTTGGCCCCATCCTACCGCCGGGGGTCATGATTTGAACAAACTTGAATCTACACTACCTGGGGATGATTCCACAGGAGTTTCATCTTTCCTATCTCAATGGTTTTTGAGAAGAAGATTTTTCCTATATATTCCTATGTAAAACATTGATTGGCCATTTTGGTCCCACCCTACCCCCTGGGATCATGATTTGAATAAACATGAATCTACACTACCTCAGGATGATTTCACATGAATTTCATCTTTCCTGGTCCAGTGGTTCTTGAGAAGAACATTTTTAAAGATTTTCCATATATACTCCTATGTAAAACTTTGATCAGCAATTGTGGCCCCGCCCTTCCCCCGGGGGTCATGATTTGAACAAACTTGAATCTACACTACCTGAAGATGACTTCATATAAGTTTCATCTTTCCTGGCCCAGTGGCTTTTGAGAAAAAGATTTATAAAGATTTTTTCTATATATTCTTATGTAAAACTTTGATCGGTCATTGTGGCTCCACCCTACCCCCGGGGGTCATGATTTGAACAAATTTGAATCTACACTACCTGAAGATGATTTCACATAAGTTTCATTTTTCCAGGCCCAGTGGTTCTTGAGAAGAAGATTTTTAAAGATTTTCCCTATATACCCCTATGTAAATCTTTGATCGGCCATTATGGCCCCACCCTACCCCCGGGGGTCATGATTTGGACCAAATCTGAATCTACACTACCTGAGAATGCTTCCACATGAGTTTCTTCTTTCCTGGTCCAACGGTACTGGAGAAGAAGATTTTTAAAGATTTTCCCTATATATTCCTATGTAAAACTTTGATCGGCCATTGTGGCCCCACCCTACCCCCGGGGGTCATGATTTGAACAAACTTGAATCTACACTACCTGAGGATGCTTCCACATGAATTTCATCTTTCCTGACCCAGTGGTTCTTGAGAAGATTTTTGAAAAATGTCATTTATTTTTCACTAATTCATAATAATCTCCCCTTGGAAAAGGGCTGGGCCCTTCATTTGAACAAACTTGAATCTCCTTTACCTCAGGATACTTTGTGCCAAGTTTGGTTGAAAATGGCCCAGTGGTTCTTGAGAAGAAGATGAAAATGTGAAAAATTTACGACAACAACGACAACGACAACAACGACGACAGACAACGGACAAATTTTGATCAGAAAAGCTCACTTGAGCCTTTGGCTCAGGTGAGCTAAAAAAACCCAAACATTTACTTACATAAAATAATCAAAAATGTTAATTAAAATTTCTTTTATAAAAAGTGGAAAATATTTTGTTTACTTTAAACAATAGAGGACTATAACGTTCATCACTACTTTTGTGCTCTTTGCACTTGGATTTGGTAATAAAATTAAAATATGACAATTTTATTTTTCATTAGCGATGTCGGCGACATTTATTTTATAATCGATTAGTAGCATCGAAGAGCTTCTAATGACCGACAATCAATTGTCGGCGACAATCATTCCATCACTATTAATGACAAAAGAAATGGTGTTTTCAAGCATTTCTGTGAGTTAAAACTTATAAAAGAAAGGTGATCCAAACTTCTTTCTGTCTTGGAAAGCTTGGAAAGTTGGAGACTATAATTCCCTGGGTGAAATCTTGCACATCATGGGCCAAAAGCATCAAAAAAATATTTAGGGTCGGCACTATAAATTAGGGTCGGTCGGGAAAGCAGAAACAAACATATTTTTTTTCTAGGCCTGACTCTGTCCTGAATAATAACTTCAAAGAGCCCAATTACTTTTTAGAAAAGGTTTGTACAATCAAAGAATTAATTTACCTCCAATTTTGAGGTTTTTCTTCCACTTCAGGATGCAGATGATAACAGATGAAATTAAAACTATCAACCATACTAGCCAAAAACCCGAATAGATGGAGCCTTTGCATGCTGAAAAGATAAAAATATTTTTAAAACTGACATATTATTACAGGGTCGAACTGGTTGGAGAGAATACTGAAAATCAGGTATTATCCATGATATCATGTATAGTCCATGATATCAAGGTATCGTCAGATTCATGAAATCAGATATACTTGCTGTGCAACCTTCTGTAAAAACAGAAAAATAAAGCAACAATGCATTATGTCAATCAGTGTTACTTGTACTTCAGTATCTTTAGAGTTTATTTTTATTGAACCCAATTTATATGGTTGTGCTTCAAGTTTTAAAATCACACTTCAATCACTGCTGGGGTAGCAAAGAGGGCATAATGGCATCATTATTTTTTAGTAATTTCTAAAACAAATAACTACATGTTATCTATGTTTATTTCCCTATTAGGACCCCTAATCACAAAATGTTAAACTTTGAAGAAATTTATTGACTTACACTGTGTTATGTATTTTTTACTTATAGTTGTTCACAGGTACATGAAGGTCAGTCAATATTACAGGTCTCAATAGCTCAGTTTGTTAGAGTACTTTCACGATACGCCAGAGGCCCTTGGTTCGAGTCCCAGTTGAGGCTTGACTTTTCACCACCTGTGACAATGTGTGGTGTCCCTTTTGCATTTTATAAGATTTTATTTTATTTGATTTCATGGAAGTAATGTTTATTCTTAAATTAACATGCTTTTGTTAATTGACAGAACACTAAACAGAACTTCAAAAACATTATTTTATGAATTTCTCAAAAATACCCTCCCTATAAATTTCACTCACATACCCACTTAGAGAATGTCTATACCACTTGACATTTAGTTTACTTAAAGAACTGTTTCAGTAATATGTATAAGTTCATTTGTAGCATTAATCCTGATAATCTGTTTCCTAGCTTGCATATCATATATAGAGCTTCTAACTCTCCCCAAAAACCATCTGTGATTGACACAAATTTAATGCTCCATTTACTTTAATTACAGTAAACATATTTTCTGTTTTCTCCAGCCCTTTTCAGAGTTTATTTTGGAGTTTTCCAGAGTGCAACACAAAATTTTATTGCTGTATAATCCCTATTAACTGCCCCTATAAGTGCCCCCTAGGCCTTTTTCAATTGTCAGGAAATAAGACCCCCTGTACAGTGATAAAAATCATCTAGAACCGTATCAAATATCTGCCAAAATTTGAAGAGAGTAAAAATGAAACTTGTCTATTATTTAATTTCTCTGTGCAAAATGAATCATTTAGTATAAGAACAAGGTACAGTTTCAATAAAAATTAAGCCCAGTATTGTTCAAAAATATGAAAGTGATATAAGAAAATAAAATTCATTTTTTCTGAATCAAAGGAATTCCACGCTGTAAGAATACACAAATCGTTTTTCTCATATGACCTCCTAAATGCTAATTGTGGCGTCATTAACTTGTGCATTTTCCCATATTTTCTTAAAAAGTTGCAGAAGACATCAATTTTCAGTGGAATTTTCTTTCAGAAAACATACTCTGCCACCATCGCCCACAGAGATATTGAGATATGTGATTTTTCAAAGCAGTTTATATAATATATCCAAAAATTGAAGCGGGCGAAGGTGGTAGACACTTTTTTCTTAAGTAAAATAAGCACAGAAAGGAGTCATTTTGAGGCTTTTCTGCATTAAACTTAGAAATGTATCAAATTAGTGAGGTGATATTTTCAAAATGGTGCTCCTTCATGCCATATTCTTTAATGATATATCATATTCATCTACTCAACTATTGTTAAAGCCAATTTCATAACTTTTCAAGAACATTAAATGTTTAGGGCAAAATAAAGCGGAAAACTGTACCTTCTTCTTTGGGTGGATTATCTTCACTTAATTGATTTTTTTTCCAAAAGATTTTTATATTTTTATGAAGTAAAAATATATTATAGATATTATAATGAGAGTACCAAAATAACTGATTCATTTTCGCTATTTTCTAAGCGCCCTGGTCGGCTATTTATATAGGGATTATACTGTACTTGTCCTGCTCAGTGACATTCTATGATGCCATCAGATTTTTTTGCCTATTTCAATGAGGACCACAGATACTTTTCTTTTGAAACTGATTTCTTTTCAACAAAACAAAATGTCAATTTAAGTCACAACATGGAATATCAAATAATGTATCAATTTAATTCTTATTATGAACGTCTACATTTTTCTTCCCTTTTACACCTTTTTACAGAGATAATGACTATAATAGTAAAATCAGATTTCCAAATTTTGAATATATCTGGTAATATTTAACACAACATTCTGAAATAAACAAGAGGTCCAAGGGCCCTGAATCGCTCTTCTGATAAATTGTACATTATCTATCACTTCTATTTGACGCCTCTAACCCAAAGTATCGTTACCCAAGTTGCACCAAATGACAAAGTTTGGTGATTCTTATTCAATTAGGACTTAAAATATTTTAATAAAGCTATAAAAAAACTTAAAGTAGGTCACAATGACGATGACATTTAGTCATAACTGCGACTAAAATTTGTTACGGACGGACAGACAGACAGACGGACACACAAGGGTAAAACAGTATACCCCCCCTCCTTCGGAGCGGGGGTATAAAAAGAAATCCCTAGGGCAGAAGTACAAAAAATATGGAAAAAATGTAATAATTTGGCGATTTTCCAACAAATTCCCATAGGGTCCAATAGTAAAGTTTGACAACATTTAAGATGGCCCACTAAGAAATTGGGGTGGTAAACATTCGATTTTTTAATCCTAAAACAATTAATATAACAGTAAAAATTAATTATCAAAAACTTATCAAAATCCCTTGGGCAGAAATAATTAGACTTGGCCTCGTTAAGTCATAAGCAATCTTTGTGTGAAATAGGAGCCTACCAAGTTTATCCATAAAACAGATATGGACCAGACATGAATTATGAAATTTTTCTTCCAGTGACCTTGAACTTCCCCAAATGACCTTGGGTCATGGTCATGACACACCCTTAGGTCATGAGCAATCTTTGTGTGGAGTAATAGATTTTAATGTTCCTTCGTAAGAAAGATATGGACCGGACACATTTGCACAGACGGACAGACAGACAGCTAGACAGATGGACAGGCTGATTCCTATATACCCCCCTCAGACTTCGTTTGCGGGGGGTATAAAAAGTAGGTCACAGTGACCTTCTTTTTCATAAATATGTTTTAAGGTCCCAAGATGCAGCAACTTAAAAGATTTGATGATTCTAAACCTCTCAGTGTCTGAATTAACAATGGAATTAAATATTTTAGAAAGAATTAGTCAAAAAGTAGGTCACGGTGACCTAATTCTAAGTTTACGTTGTTTGAGGACGCAAG